GCTCGATCCCACAAAATGTGGAATCATGACCTGAGACGAAATGAAGACTCAGATGCTTAACCTATTGAGCCACCCAGGTGCCCTTCCAAGGACCTCATTAATGGGCAGAGTCTGACTGCTAGTCTGGGGTAGGGCCAGAGAGTCTGCATTTCTAACACATTCCCACATGATGCTCATGCAGCTGGCCCATGGACTACACTTTACATAGGAAGGGTATAAAAGTAGGTTTATATACCTTGTTAGCAACATTTCTATTACTAAAAAAACGTTCTGGACTACCCTCATTAGACCATTAGAAGGGCATTTTGCTCAAAGTAGAACACATATAACTAAAAATGCTAGGAAGACAGGTCTGATTTTTTACTGTAAGATAGCAAACTCATCTCTACAAAACTACAGTACAAAAATCTGTTTAATTTTTTCTCTAGCTTCTATCACTTGCATGTACTTTTCATAGCCATTTAGTGATATCATGCTTATTAATTTTAAGAGGACTAAGTAGTAGCCACCCCTCACTCTCAAAAGGGTCCCGGTTCAGAAAATAAATCACAGATTCACTCTATTTATACCTCCTTGTATAGTTCCCTGGCATTTAACACACTGTTGTCCTATTTGCTTATGATTTTGACTTGTGTCTACATCTTAGGTTTTTGATGAGATTATAACTTATCTGAGGGCATCTGATTCATTCACTCAATCAATACTAGAACAACCTGGGGTCATTGTCCATATACAATTGAAAGCTGGATTCAGATATTTCTTAGGATAGTAAGTCTGTTCAATAACTATTTGGGTAGCAGTGACAGCCTTCGTAGAATACATTCATCCATCCATCTATCCACCTATCCATATGTCCATCTGTCCATGCATCCTGCCATCCATCCAAACCTTATTTAAAACCACTGTGCCAGGTGCTGGGCTGGGTCCTAGAAGTATACAGATCAAAGCATAGTCTCTGCCTCCTAGACCTCTTGTTTATTTCTTCACATAGAAATATTTATTGATTCATTTTTACAAAACAAACTTTTTTCCTCAGCTTATTCAGATGACAGAGATATCCTCTGTTTGGAGAAATAGGAACAGGGAATGAGCATCTATTTGAATGAGCACAGATCTGGAAATAGAGATGATGGTATTGGCTCAGGTTCCAAAATGGTCCAATCACTTCCATCCCCTGGGCCTCAAGTTCCTCATCTGCCAGTTGAAGGTGTCAATGATTGCTGAGATCTCTTCTAGTCTTACAATTCTGTTAGAGGAGTTTGAATGTTTTCTCCTTTCCTGTTTAAGACTTATACGAAGAGAAGAATTTTAGAGAGCTTTTGATAGCAGAGAGAATAAGACTGTAGAAGCCTTTAGAGATGGTTCATTCCAAGCCAAAAAACTTCTTGGCTTTTGGCACATTTTCCTTTTTACTTTTCTCATCTCTATCATTCGTTCTACAGTTTACCAAGATTTGCCTTTATTTCTTTTTTCACTAAAATTTGCTTTTCACATCTTTGCTATCAGTGTATCAACCACATGCTTTTTCCTTTCTTGGCTCCCCCTACTGTGTTTGTTCATCCTCTTGACTTTCTTTCCTCATACCTCTCAATGTCATCATACCTCACTTTTGCTTCTAAATTTTTTTTTTAATGTATTGAAGTCTTGGGTGGCTCAGTTGGTTAAGTGTCTAACTATTGGTTTCAGCTCAGGTCATGATCTCATGGTTCGTGAGTTCAAGACCCACATCAAGCTCTGCATTGACAGTGTGGAGCCTGCTTGGGATTCTCTCTCTCTGTCTCTCTCTGCCCCTCCTCCCTCAAAATAAATAAATAAACTTTAAAAACCCCTAAAAATATAAAAGTTGTATAACATTCCATGGTGTGGGTCTTCCAAAGAAACCCAACCAACCAAACAAAAATGGATTGAAGTCTAATTGACTTACAATATCATATTGGTTTCAGGTATACAACATAGCATGTACACACACACTATACACATATATAGCATGATTTGACATTTGTATACATTGTGAAGTGGTCACCACTATGTCTAGTTACCATTTCTATTTCAGTGCTTGTGATCAATTTCCATTTTTGTTCACTCCATTCTCTTTTTCTCACCCTCCACCAGAAGCCATTTGATGTTTGCCACATAACCTGTGTTTTTAGTACATATTCTTCATATTGTTTCTCAAGGGACGATGAAGTGGTAGAAATTGTATATCTCTTGGAAAATCTGTCATGTGATTTGGTGTCTCAAAAGTTACCTGACATGCTCTGAATGGCTTATTTTTCTGCAGATTCATTCATTCATCTGCTCAAATATACTTATTAAGCATCTGCTATAAATAGCATTGTGTCAAGGCACAAGAAGGAGTAAAAAGAACAAGATATGATTTTTCTCTTCTTGAAGCATAAAATATTAGAAGAAAGAGTTGTAGTGGTGCCTACGTGGCTCAGTGGGTGAAGCATCCAACTCTAAGATTTTGGCTCAGCATGATCTCATGGATCCTGAGATTGAGCTCCAAGTTAGGCTCCACGGTGACATTCAATTAAAATTCAGAAATGTTTTAGGCAACAATCCATTATTGCCTATGAGTTTTTAATGTAAAAATCACTTAGTAAAGTAGCTAGGAGAGAGATCCTGAGACAAACAATCTAATATTGGATAGGGATCAGGGCAACTAACTGAGAGTGGGTTAAGACCCCAAAGAGTAGAATGGCAGGGGACACTTCAGTGGGAAGTCCTAGCCAGTGTGACTGCAGTGTGACTTAGGAGGGCCTAAGACATCTGTGTATGGAAGGAGGTCAACCTTACTCTCTGGGTAAGCTCATTATTTCCCTAGCTCTAATTACTAGCATGTGCACAACCATACACCTTTTCCAGGCCAGGTCTCTCTGGTGATCTCAAGATTCCTAGGACTTCTATTTGATATCAACCTGTCCCCAGACCTGCTCCTCTTCTTCCTGCATCTAGTCCCACTCACCCACCCAATTTTTCAAGCCAAACCAGGCATTAAGCTGGACTCCTCGTCACTCAATTGTGAGCAGGCATCCACAGTGGTGCTTCAGTCTGGCTGCTACTGCCGGTTCATATTGTTATCCCGAGTCCCAGCCTTCACCATCTCAACGCTACATCAACTTCATAGATTATTCACTAACTTCTCCATTTAACATCATGTTTCAGACCATCCTCTACCCTGAAGCTAGAGTGAACTCTCTAAAGCACAAATCAGATGTGTCCCTCTTGCGTTCAACATTCCATTATCCATAGGATGAAATCCAAACAGGTTAGTGTGATGCACCAGAACCTTCAGGATTTGAACCTAGCCTCAGGCTGCCTCTTCCCACACCCCTACTCATGGCCTGTAAATTGCAGTTATACCTAACAGTGCCCTGAATGTAGCTTTCTTTTGCTTTGGGGCTTTTGCACATGTTGTCTCCTTGGCTGGGGTACATTCCTGCCTGCTAGTGCTTTGCTAATGTCTATTTATCCTTCTAGGTCTCTGCTTGGGCATCTTCTCCTAAAGGAATGCTTTTCTCTCCTCTATTATCCCAAAGATTGGGCATGACATGCCTCTTATGTGCTTACTCAGCACTTGACCTCATTCCTCCCAGTACGTAACACCCTGTTCTGTGAGTAGAGTGGGACTTTGAGCCTGGTGACCTTTCTGGTCCTAAATGAAATAGTTGGCAAACAGTGTACACTCAACATCTGATGAGAAAGGGGCAAAGGAAGAAAAGGGGTTCTGGGGTGCCTAGGTAGCTCGGTTGGTTAAGCATCTGACTCTTGATTTTGGCTCAGGTCATCATCTCACAGTTCATTAGTTTGAGCCTGCATTCAAGTCTGAGCTGTCAGTGTGGAGCCTGCTTGAAATTCTCTCTCTCCCTCTCTCTCTCTCTCTCTCTGCCCCTACCCCACTTGTGTTCACTCTCTCTCTCTCAAAATAAATAAATAAACTTAAAAAAAAGTATTTTTTAAAACAAAGGGGATTTCTGAGAGTCGGATGAGAGGTATTCATATCATACTTGCTCTACTCATTTTCTTAATTTTTTTGCCTCCCCCACTTCTACTCATTAAGCCCATAATATATGGGGCCCTTGGGTGGCTCAATCGGTTAAGCACCCAACTTTGGCTCAGGTCATGATCTCGTAGTTTTCTTTCTTTTCTTTTCTTTTTTAATGTTTTATTTATTTCTGAGAGAGAGGGAGAGAGACAACGTGAGAAGGGGAGGGTCACAGAGAGAGGGAGATACAGAATCTGAAGCAGGATCCAGGCTCTGAGCTAGCTGTCAGCACAGAGCCCGACGCGGGACTCGAACCCACGAACCATGAGATCATGACCTGAGCTGAAGTCAGACGCTTAACCGACTGAGCCACCCAGGCACCTCGACCTCGTGGTTTTCAGTCTGCTGTCAGCATAGAGCCCACTTTAGATCCTGTGTACTCTTCTCTCTCTGCCCCTCCCTTGCCTGTGCTCTCTTTCTCTCTCAAAAATAAAATAAACATTAAATTTTTTTTAAAAAAGATCATAATACATGGTTTTGAAATATCAATTAATAATCTGGAGCTGGAGTGACTTTCCTCCTGATGAATCCAGATTGGTTATAGAGCTGATGAATGACTGTCTAGTACTGAAAAGTTAACATGATTATAAATCATTCCTTTGAGAAAAAAATGAAAACCTCAATCTCCACCATAAGCAATATACCATAGTGGTCAAGAGATTACCTTTGGTCTCTGAGAGACCTGAGTTCAAGTCTTGGCTCTGCCATTTGCTATGATGTGAGGTAGATTATTTAAGCTATGCCTCAGTTTCCTTATCTGTAAGGTGGAGATCACAAGAGTATCATACATTTTTGAGGATTACCCAAGGTGTACAAAGAACTTAACACATTGCCATTTACTACACAGTGTCAAAAAATGTTGATTATTATAAAACTAGTGGCAGCAGGTCTTTCAAAGACTCTTTGGTTTATTTCAACATGTATCTCTCTTTCTCTTTTTCTCTTACAATTTAGCAATTTATAGTCAGATTAGAACTGAAAGGCCTCAGTCACTTCTCTCCTTTTCTCTTATATCTCCTTTCCAATTTCCATCTGACCTTTGTCTTGTGCATTAGTGATGCCTGGTCCCATGGCCTATCTCTGCTGTCTTGAGTCAGGAATTAGTCTACATAATCATGAGATCTTGGGAGTTCTCCTTATGAGAAACACCATCTGAAATCCTGTTCCAACTTGAGAAAAGCATTACAAATTATATATAAGAAAAGGAGTTTTATCTAATTTATAAACTCACAGGTTTATGTTATTACTAGGACCTGTTATGGTTAATAAACAAATACATATTTCTTATCACATTCTACATATGACTAGTCACATCTTTGGGCGTAACATCTTGTTCTAGGTTTTAATCACTTTTGATTTTGCACCTTAATATTTGTACCACTAAAGATCATCCTTTTTTTTAAAAAAAATATTTTTATTTATTTCTAGGAGGGAGAGAGAGAGAGACAGCGTAAGCGGGGGGGGGGGGGGGTCAGAGAGAGAGGGAGACACAGACTCTGAAACAGGCTCCAGGCTCTGAGCTGGCTGTCAGCACAGAGTCCGATGCGGGGCTCGAACCCACGAACCGTGAGATCATGACCTAAGCGAAAGTCGGACACTTAACCGACTAAGCCACCCAGGCGTCCCTGAAGATCATCCTTAATATGAGATTTGGCCCCTGGGAGTTGGGTGATAGAAGCAATAAAATCCAATAGTGTCACTGGCTTAGTAGAGAAGAACAGTGATGAACTAAATATTGTTGGTTGGAAAGTTAGTGACTCTTGTTTTCCTATAGCAAAACGTTTGATCCAACTGTCACCTGCTGAATCATGTAAAGAAAGCATGCAAACTGAATGTGTAGGTAGGGGAAAAGGTAGGGAAGGTAAAACTTTTGTTTGTATTGGTTGCTCCTTGTGGCTTTTAGCCAACTACTACAATCAAGATATGAACATGGGCTGGAGCTAACTTGTCTGCCAGCAGAAATGGAAGGGAATACAGTTTCACTATGGGATTGTCTCTGCCTGTGATCTAAATTGATTATGAGCCCTATAACTGGGAGTCTTGCTGGGGTGAAAAATCCAATTACTTTTTTTGCCTAGACTGAAGCAGTAGTAAGAAGCGACTGAACACTCATCCAGCTTTGGCAGGAAATAAGAACATGGCCGCAAGCCCCTTTCAAGCATCTTCCCTCAGTATTCAATGCCAGACAATGGAAACATGTCCAGTCATAAAGAAAGATGAAAGGTATTGCCATCCCATCCAACTTTTTCTTTCTTTGCTTCAAAAGGTCTCAAGAATAGTCAACTTCAATTTGAGAAGGAAGAGACTGGCAGAGCATAAAGAGCTATAAATAAAAGATCAGAGTTTTCAGGCATAGAGTTTCCAGACACAGTTTTAGGCTGTGGTAACTCACACTTGGAACTGACTGGAAGCAAATAGGTTGGAAGCTTTCTACATTTGGACAGGAATCTCTCGCTTGGCTTGCAAAAACTTCTAATTATTCAATTCTTAAAAGAATCCCTGGGTCCCTGCACCTGCACAAGAGAGAATGGCTCTGGAAACGCTGCAGCTCCAAAGACCATCATATCTTCTAATGTCCATGGCTCAAAAATAGCCATGGAGGAAAATGACAAGAAAGAATCTCCCAGAGGGCAAAGCCAGAGGTCATGGTGAACAATGGACAAGGGAGTTCAGCCAAGGCAGCAGCTACCAGAGGGCCCAATCAAGGCATGTACTCCACTGCCAGAAAGGGAGTCTTTGCCATTCCTATCCAGCAGGATTCAATAACTGCTATAGATCCATACCTGCAATATTTCCTTTTCCTACCTTTTTGGTGGCAGTTTTATTGTGGTTATTCTGCTCCTACTTCAGCAATTATATTGCATGTAAATGCAGATAACTTATTTTTTGGTTTGTGAATTACCAGACCATGAGGAGCCACATCTGGTTGTGATGGAGATGACATCACCCAGAGATTCTGGATTTTGAGTGAAATGCAATACCTGGATGAAACTTTGAGGTCATCTCTTTTGCAGAAGGAGACACATGTGTCTATGTAGAAGAGTATACATGATTATTTAGGAAGCCAAACTACTAGGTGCCTTCCAAAATCCATTCTTCTCTTCTCCTTTAATACAAGAATCCTGATTTTTAACTAGGCACATTGTTTCCCAGCTAGAAATCTTTATGTCACTGCCTCCCTTACCATTAAGTGATAGCCAAATATTTAAGTTCTGACCAATGAGACAAAAAGTAGTTGAGTTGCAAGGAACCCATGGAAGTCTCCTTAAAAGGGAACACCATGCTCATCTCCCTTCTCCTCCATCCCGTTGATTCCAGTGTGGATATTGTAGTTGGAACTTATGTGGCCACTTTGGACTATGAGAATGAGGGCCACAAAGAACTCAAAGGAACACGATGATGTCATGGAGCTAGCAGATTAGCTCTGAATTGCATTACCCTTAGATCTTTTAAATGAGAAAAGAATAAAGTTTCATCTTATTTAAGCCACTGTATTTTGGAGTTTTGAGCTATGAAGCTATGAATCAACTCATGATTGATATACTCTCTCTGTGTGATTTGGCCAACTGAATTTTAAGAATATAAAGTAGGTGGTTTAGTGTTATGGATTTGAGGTCTGGTCCACTAATCAGCTGAACTATTTCTTGAGAAGTTGAAAAGAAACGCCTCTGTTGTTTTAGCTTGGAACCCGCCAGGGTTGGACTTAATTAGGATGCAAGACTGATACAGTTTCAGAGTTGGGAAAAAAATTCCATAATGTTTTGCCCAATTAAAATGATTATAGAGAGTACACTTCCTGTGGCAAATGGCATCTTGACTACTGTGAGGACAGAGAAAAAACCTAGAGGTTATGGTCTGGATGGGAGTATCTCTGTCACCCATGCTCTCTGATCTAGCCCTAGTATTCAGTATTAGAAAGAAGGTATGGTTTCACAGGTCTGATAATTTAGAAAAAAAATCAGAAAAGTAGTCAAATTTAATATATTAAAACACATGTCAATGAATATTTATTCTACTTTCTATGGGCTTACCTAGGGTTTCTCAACCTTGGCATGATTAACATTTTGTAGCAGATAATTCTTTGCTGTAAGAGGCTCTCCTATGCACTGTATGATGTTCAGCAGCAACCCTGGTCTCAGCCCTCTACATTCGAGTTGCAACATCCCCCATTCCAGTTGCGACAACCAAAATATCTGCAGACATTGCCAGGTGTCCCCTGGGAGTCAAAATTCCCCCAGTGGAGAGCCATTGGATTAACGTGAGGCTCAATGCTAATTTCATGTTGTTTTACAATATACAGAGCCTGCTATTCGCTGGTGGAGAAGAGCCACCAGTTTCCTGGAATTGGGACACAGGGCTGAAGCATATTTTACTTATCTATACTTGATAGAAAATCTCAAAAATAGCTTTAATTTAACAAGCACCTCATAAAGGTCACACACTCTCCTCAGTACTTCACATTTACTACTTATTTTGGGAGAAGCTTTTTTTTTTTTTTTTTTAAAGCATAGGACAGTACAGCAAAACAAAACAAAACCCTGAGCACATAGATACAGAATATAGGTTGTGGTTGCCAGAGGTTGGGGGGCGGGCCATGGGCAAAGTGAGTGAAGGGGGTCAAAAGATACAACCTTTCAGTTATATAAGTCATGAAGATGTAATATGCAGCATGGTGACTATAGTTAATAACACTGTCTTGCATATTTGAATGTTACTAAGAGAGTGGATCTGAGAAGTTCTCGTCACAAGAAAAACATTTTTGTAATTATATGTGATGACGGACATTAACCAGACTTAATTGTTGTGATCATTTTGCAATATACACAAATATCAAATATTAGGTTGCACACCTGAAACTGCTGTAAAGTTATATGCCAATAATACCTCAATTTTTAAAAAAGTACAGGAAGGTACAGTAACAGTTTTTCTGCATTTCCTGCCCAGTTTCCTTTCCCTCAGAAATTTGGTTTGTACCCAGGTCATATTTTTATACTTTTACTATGGAGATATGCAATCTCTAAGCAATATTTGGTGTTGCTTTGGGTATGTAAGAATTTTACATAAATGCATGTCATGCATATCATAGTGTATGCAGCATTTTTGTGCTCAAAGTTATATTTTTTTGTGATTCCTCCATGTTGCTACACGTAAATCTGGTCCATTTATTTTCACTTGTATATAGTATTCCATTGTATAAATGTGGTGCAATTTATTTACCCACCCTTCTACAGATGCACATTTGAATTGCTTCCAGTAAATTTCTATTCTAAAACAAGACTACAGTAAACATCTTTCTATGTCTCTCTGTGCACATGTCCAACACGTGCTGAGGTTTCTTCAGAAGTAGAATTGTTGGGTCAGAGGCTGTGATTTTTATTTTTTATTTTATTTTATTTTTTTTAATTTTTTTTTAATGTTTTATTTATTTCTAGGAGAGAGAGAGACAGCGTGAGCAGGGGAGGGTCAGAGAGAGAGGGAGTCACAGACTGAAACAGGCTCCAGGCTCTGAGCTGGCAGTCAGCACAGAGCCCGACGCGGGGCTCGAACCCACGAACCGCGAGATCATGACCTAAGCGAAAGTCGGACGCTTAACCGACTAAGCCACCCAGGCTCCCCAGAGGCTGTGATTTTTAAAAAATTTTTTAAATGTTTTATTATTTTTGAGAGAGAGAGACAGCGTGAGCAGGGGAGGGTGACAGAGAGAGGGAGACACAGAATCTGAAACAGGCTTCAGGCTCTGAGCTGTCAGCACAGAACACAATGTGGGGCTCGAATCCACGAACTGTGAGTTCATGACCTGAGCCAAAGCCGGATGCTCAACCGACTGAGCCACCCAGGCGCCCCAGCTGTGATTATTTTTAACTTTACTAGATAATGCCAAATTGTTCTCTGACATGATCGAATCAATTTACATTCCCACTAGCAGTGCATGAAAATCCCTGACTCCCCATAATCCTCTCCAGTGCCTGCTTTTATCACAATTTAATTTTTTTCCTTAATTTTGTGGGAGTGGAATGTCTCACTCTGGATTTATTTGCATTACCATGGTTTTGGTGAAATCACACATCTTTTCCTGCATTTGTTGGCTATAGCGGTTTCTTCGGTGGGTTACTGTTCATGTCTTTTGCTCATTTTTCTATTGGGTTTTCATTAAAATGTTTGTTTAAAAGAATTTTAGTATGTTCCATACTAATGCTTCGCTTATTTTAAATGTTACAAATACCTTCTTCTAGGTTTTGTTTGTCTTCATTTTTTAAAAGGTATCTCTTAGTGCACTGAAGTTTTAAACCTATGTAGTCTAATTCATATATATTTTCTTTCATCATTTTTTGTTTGGACCTTGCTTAAGAAATTCTTTCCTATTCCAAGGTCATGAAGAAATTATCCTCTATTTCATAAAATTTTCATGTTTTAGTTAAATATTTATCTCTTTGAAGTTTTTTTGTGTGTGTGTGTGTGTATGGTATGAGGTAAGGATCTCATATACTATCTCTTAACCTTACAACAACCGTATAAGGAGGCATTATTCCCACTTTACAGATGGGAAAACCAAGATTTGATACGTGACTTGTCCAAGTTTTATAGACAGTAAAAGGCAGCAGAGCCAGGACTTGAATCCAAGTGTATTTGGTCTCCAAAGACCATTCTGTTGCATACATGGCAGGATGCTGTACCAGAAGGCCAGGTGCAAATAAACATGGCATTTTATTTTTCAAGAAGTTTTCTTGCATCTTTATTGTAAGGGTACCACCTATCTCTAAATATATCTTAGATGAGAGATTATGAGATTCACTTATTTTCCTTCTAGTGTAGAGGCTCAGGTCCACTTTGGTCCTGGGTCCTCCAAGCCTTGCCTAGCTTGAAATCCCAGTAGAATGGACCAAACCGGGCATGAAAAGAAAAGTATAAGTGACCTCAGCTACCAGTGAATCTTGGGATTTCATCTATATATTTAGGAATCTCTTTCTTTTCTGGTCAGTTGTTCTCTGTAGATGGATGTGGTAGAATCAGGACAGAAAGAAGTCTAGAACAGCTGTTTGTATCATGTTACTGATTTCCTTATTGATTTATAAGACTGTTTCATAATATAAGAAGACTAGCTTCTCTTCTGTAATTTTTGTTGCAAATATTTCTTTTAGCTTGTGATAGCAGTATGTTTTGACTTATCTTTGTGTAATCAAATCTATCAGTCTTTCCCATCATTTTTTCTATTACCTTTATGCTTATAAAGTCCTTAGGAGCCTTAGATCAGCTTAAAATAACATACAGTTTCCTTTAGAAAAATTTTAATGTTTTCTTTAAAATCGCTTTTCATCATATAAACAAAATATTTTATACTTTTTTCAGACAGTACTGAACAGCTTAACATGAAGAGTAATTCCCTTCCATTTACCCCAACCTCCACCTCCACTTCCCCAAGGTATTTACTCTTAACAGCTTCTTGGGTACCAATTTCAGAATATTTTCATAAATGTAGAGCACAAACTACATTTGCAGCAACAAGTCATCTAGTGGACTTTTTCACATTGATTCAGAGTTGTGTGTCTCCAAGCTGATGACTATTGGATTTAATTTTCTCCAGTCTTAAGGGAGCTGCAAACCTCACCAAGAGGCCACCAAACCGGCCCTGCAGCCACCTCCCTAACCCTTGCTGACCTATATACGCAGAGACAGGATGGCTGTGGGAGGAGGGTCCTCTGGAGTAGGATTTCTTGATCTGGAGCCCTCAGGGATTTGTGGATAGAATTCGGGGGTTCATGATCATAAGTGGGAAGAATAGTCTGTCCTTATTTTTACTATCTTCTGGCTGACATTTAGCATTTCCTTCCATTATGAATGTAGGCAGCAAACCACAATAGTATCAGCAACACCAGTAGAAGCCACAGGCGTTTTCATGTTGCACGCAGTTGTTGCAGATACCTCAAAATATCAGTTACACTCAGCACCACTTAGAAATCACGGCGAGGATTGTTAGATAAAGCAGCATACATATCAGAGTACAAATTTAAAAAAATGTTTTGACAGCTGTATTTTAAAATAGTTTCCTTTGTAACATTGCATATTTTATTTTATAAACATTATTCTAAGAAGGGGTCCATAAGTCTTTCGACATAAGACTACCAAAAGAATTCATGCATGAGAAAGATCTGAGGAGAGGGTTTGTGGTTTGGGGTGCTTCTCCCACTGGTCACCAAATGAGAAGCTTCCAAGTTATCAGTAGTAAAAACTGAATTGTGCTATCTTGCTGGTACCCCATTCAAGGTGGCTCCTCTCCCCCAGTCTCAGACTGTGACGAGCATTGCTGGGATGGGAGCCTGGGGGTGAGGCTGTGAGTGGAGATGACCCTGAGAGCATCTCCTGGGTAGACAATAGTACCACCCACAGGCAGGCGCCTCCAGCCACAAGAGCACAACCAGCAAGATAGGTAAGTGCTTTTGCTCTATTCTTCTCCTCAATCCCCCCCACTTCCACCCACTCCCAGAGGGGTTAGAAGCAGCAGAGAGAGGAAGAGAAAGGAAGAACAATGCAAAAGAAGAACTTTATTCCTCCTTCCAAGGTGGACATTTAGGCCACAAGTCCAGCCTTGGATGGATGGAGGGGAAAAGTCTTTGGATGTGAATGGATATAAAATTAATCTTTGACTTGGCCTGGACTTTAATATATGCAATAGAATCTTAGTGACCAGAATGAGACTGCTCTTAAAGCTGAGTGACTAAAGAGTTCAGCCCAAGGAGTCAAGAAGAGAATAGAAAGGAAGATTTGAAGGCAGAGGTAGAAGACAAAAAAAAAAAAAAGCTATTTCATGGCATAACCCACACAGTTCAGACTGTCTATTGTACTGGTCTCATGTGCTTGCTTAACCATTTGTTCTTTTTTATTTTATTTTTTTTACACAACTCACTTTTTTTTTTACTTTACTTATCTGAGTTACATATATTTTTATGGTTTCACTTTTTGAAAACACATAACTCTTTAACTCAAGTGGAATTTTTCCACGTAGGGGGTGTGTGGGGGAGGAAAGAAGCAGCATGACTTTTACCCTGAAGTTAGGAGTCCCATTGTGACCAACAAAGTCCTGGATAGTCTGCACACCTACCTCGCAGGTTTCACTGGAAAGATGTCGCCATTGCTCCTGAGGCTTGTAAGTCTCTCGTTGATTATAGTTTAGTAGGCTGCTGCTCAGGCCCTGGGGGAGGGGAAGAAGGACAGTGGGCTGAGTCACATAGGAGATACCTAATGTGTAACAAGAATTTGAGCCAGAGCCATGAGGGAGTGTCTGGTGGAACACACTGGCAGGACCTTGGTGTCCGTGCCTCCTGCCTACGGGCCAAGGTCTGGACAATAAGGTGGCGGTGGGGGAGGGGGGTGTTGACTACCTTAGATGGCTGAGGCTGACGGCCAAATGGAGGGGTGGATCTTTTAAGACCTTTGGAGGATCTGAGGCACCTTCCCATGCTTCCAACTCCATCTCTTCTCAATGTTATAGGTGGTCGCCATATTCATCTGTCTGGTCTCCTGCCTCACTCTGTGCCCATCAGCCAAACAAATCCTCCATCCAAACCCACCATTTCTGCCTGTCTTCCCAGCTTATATCTTTTCCTTACTTTCATTTACTTTCTCCATCCTAAATCTTTTTCTCTTCCTTTCATTGTGCTTATTTAGTGCCTCCTCTCTCCTCACTTTTCTCTCTATTACCTTTTTTTAAATGTGAAACAGAAGGATTATGGAGAATTTTCTTCCTGCTTTAAACCAACCCCACATAAACCTTTAAAATTATTATATATTACACATTTTTATCCATACATACAAAAGGGTATAAAATAAAATGATCCCCTTGTATTTGACACTCAAAATAAATATTGCCACCTCTCTCCTTCCCCTCCACACATTACAACTATCTTGAATTTTTTACATATATTAATTTTTGCAGGGGGTGATACTCCAAGAAATAGTTTGTGGATTAAGAATGCAAGGATGGGAGGTAGCGGGGCCCAGGGTCAAAAAACCCCTTTCTGCTCACAAAGGATATGCATTAGACTGAGGCCAGACACAGACCCTGGATTGTTATCACTTGAATTAGACCATGACAGCCCCCTTTAAAAGGCATGCTGGTTATTTAAGTAATCTGATACATTAGCAGCCTTTACTATTGTAGGTAGGGCTTCTATCTTAACTACTCATAAAAATGAAGAGGGGATGGGAGATTCATGATTTAGTGGCATTTCATGTGAAAAACTACAAGATTTCTATCAGCCAAAAGTGTTAAGTGGCTTTGAAAGAGATGAGCACATCACAGATTGTATTACCAGAAGTGCAATGTTCCAAACATAGGAGCAAATGCTGGATTCACAGGATAGCTGGAATCGCATATGCAATGTTAACTAAGCATCTAGAGGTCCCTGGGGGGCTCAGTCAGTGAAGTGTTGGATTCAGCTCAGGTCATGATCTTGCAGTTCATGAGTTCGAGCTTCCTGTAGGGTTCTGTGCTGACAGCTCAGAGCCTGGGGCCTGCTTTGGATTCTGTGTCTCCCTCTCTCTCTGCTCCCCACCCCCCACTCATGTTTTTTCTTTCTCTCTCTCTCTCTCAAAAAAAAAAAAAAAAAGAATGATGGAAGTAAAAAGCTTGGTTAAGGCCCAAACTTGGAAAACACACAATGAAGAAAATACCCACCTGGGGTAATCGCAGCATTCCGAGTAAACACATGTAACATTTTTGGGAAATGTACTCCTAGTACAAGTGAAGAGGGACAGAGACGGGAGGCCTGCCTAGAGGAACGCAGTCAGCCTGGGTGGGGGCTCGAGAATGTTCCCCTGGCGGCTTCTGTGGGAGAAGGGCGGGCCTGCACGGAGGGTGCTAGAAGGACGTGTGTGCTTAAATTCCCATTTCCTTAAGGGGTCTCCCCGTTTTGGGCTCCTCTCCATTCCCACCCTTCCAAAACGTGGTCACCACATTTCTTCCTAGAGGACAGATTGAATCCTATCACGCTCCTCCTGAAAAACGTTGTTTCGGGTTAACAACTAAACTTCTGAGCGCGGCATTAAACGTCCTGCATGGCCTGGCGTCGGATTTCATTCTGGGCTCAGCTCCAGTGACATCTCCAATGACATCTCATGCAAACAGGGCCGTATCACAGAGCCGACTTTTCTTGTGCTCCGTAGAGCATGCGTTTCGCAGTCTTTGCTCATAACCGTGCCCTGTGACTAGACAACACTCCTCGTGTTCTGTCTTCATTGAATTTTTTTTTCCATTCTTCAACATCGGATCCAAATGCCTCTGTGGAGCCTTCCTTCCCAGAGTCCTCTGGCTCAGGTGACATTCTTTCCTCTCTCCCTCTCTCTCTCTCTAGGCAATTTGTCTTTGACAAGGGATTGGATTTGCACATCTGCCTAGATGGTAAGCTCCTTAAGGTCAGGGAGTCTGTGATTGATATAGTACAGTCTGTACACACACACACACACACACACACACACACCGGCACTATACTTTGTATCCTCTATATTATATATTTTATATTTATATTTTGTATATTATGTGTTTTTACACATTTCATACATTGTATATATTATAGTTTGTAATTTTTTTTTAGCCCTTCTATCTGAGGACAGACACACTGTGGATGTGCATTGGCTTCTTTGACTGCCTATTGGAAGACAATACTTATAGGGAATACAATCAATGTTTCACAGACTTTACTTCTCACCCCTGTACTCCAATCCAGCCTAGCTAGTGAATAAGACTTTAAAACTGAGTTGCTGAGCAAGAAGACATTTGGTGCCAGTACCGAAGCCATTCAGCTTTGTCTCCCAAAGAATTTCTTTCCCTCACTTGGGAGCATGTAAGTAATATTATCTGGACATAGTTTTGGAAAAATACAGAATTAAGTCTCCATTATCAATTCTATAGTTTAACTTCAGCAGATGCTTTTAATCTCACGCTAGTTTCACTGTGCTGACAAGACCTCACCTTGTATATTTCGCAGACTTCCTGTGGTTGTAGACACTTATTCTAATAACATCTCAATCCAAACATCACCAGGATATTACATTTTCTGGAAGAAAATTGGCTGATGCTTTCAGGCCAGAAAAGCTTTTGGATTTCTGGATGTTTCAGGTTACCTGTATTGGAATCTCTACCTTTTGATCCTAATAGTCTAAAGGTGATTGGGTCACTCACCTTTTTCAATGATGGATTCATAATTCCTGAAGGACCAAGTCTTCTGCATGTTGATGTAACAAGACTCATTAGGTCTATGTCTTAGTGTGGCAGATATTCCGTCCATCAAAACAGTGAACAGACTGAGTAACCCTGTCTGCTGAGCTATGGATATACAAAAGGTCTGAGAATAATCTGAAAATATGGATATGAGTTCTGTATTCTCAGCATGACTTTTTGATTCTGCAGGGTGAGTGTGAGTATATGAGAGTATGACTATGAACACACATGAGTGCACCCACGCAAAATGAGGTTTCAGAGAAAGTACATTCACAGAAAACTTGAAGGAGGACTGAGCAGGAAGAGCTGCAGGGCCTCATTTAGATGTTTGATCTAGGCTGTGAGCCAGCAGGAGGGAGAGTGGTTTGGGGAGATTCCAGGGGCAGAAACAGGGATGCTATAGAGGTGGGGTTCATGTGTTTGGAGAAGAGGGATTTTGTTCCACTTCGACTGTTCTGTTCACTCTGTGTTGTAATTTATGACTCTATATGGCTGACTACCATACTAGACTGAGTAGGCACACAGTAGATTTCAAATGAAGTTGATTTTCAATTGGCTTGATACTTAAAAGGAGATTGGGACCTAGGAGGAAGGAAGAGCTCTGGGGAGGGTGCACAGTGGGGACTGGGCTTTAGAAAAAGAAGTGAGACCAGGTCCAAACCTGTGTACAAGTGGGTTTGTACTAAATTAGTGGAATAATGTGGAACTATACAAATATTTTAGGTTGCCTCTAATTTGTACCCCAAGAGTGCTTTAGATTGGAGAAAAATCATTTTTTCTACTTCAAATGGCCACCTGACCTTGTTGTATTAGAGTGAATAAGATAGGAAGCGCATGGAAAGGGTCTTGAACCCATATCATCTCTTTGAAGGTCAATTGCTCTTGGACCTCTTTACAGTTGGAAGCAGAAAGCTATTACAGCAGCCAACGCCTTCTGTCTGAGGGCTTCCTGGGATTCCTGATAAGCCTTCAATGAAATGTACTTCCTTTCCCTTTAGAAGCAAGGGTTCAGGACTCTTCATCAGGAGTAGAGTGGAAACTGTCCTTTCTCAGGCCTTTGGGTTCAGCCATGTTTTAGTTTAGTGAACAGTCAGCTCAGGACCTTGAAGCAGAAATAACTGGAAGTGTTCTAGAACTACGAGGGATGAAGGAGGGAGGCAGTGTAAGGAGAGGGAACGCAACAGGAGGAAGCCAAGGCAAAGATGCAAAGATGATCATCTTTGAGAGCTGCCACCAAGGGTAGGGAAGGGACTTCAGAGATAAGAAAGGTGACATATTAGGGGATGAGCATGAGACAAAGTCCATCTTACCAGTGAAGCCACCAAGATGTTTAGAGAGCAAACATGGCTCGGATGTGGACCAGTCTCTGGCTAATCATGTGGACTCAAGCCTAATTTTACCGGGTGTGACTAGAGATAAAAGAAGTAGCAGTCAAGGCCATTTCATGTGAGTGGAGTGATAACAACCTAATGAAGAAGCATTTTTTAGCTAGTTGAAAGAGAAAATGCTTTAAAAAGTAAATGTAAATTCAGAACCATGGACTAAGTGTAAAATCAGTCCTTGCCACTATTCTAAAATATGAATCTTCCACTCAACAAATGGCTTCTGTCAACAGCACAAAGCTTGCTGCCATAACCCTGAAGGAGAGGCAGTAGCAGACTTTACATGTGGAAAAGGTTGGTAACACGGAAGCAAGAGCCAGCAAGACTGAAACCAACTAGTCCTAAACCACAAACACCAGAAAAAAAGTCAACATACCATTTGTCACCATTTCACCACCAGCCTTGCTAAAATAGCCTTCATTGAGGACACTGAGCCCCCAGGTGGCAGCTGAAATCCTCAACAAACACTGCATTTTATTGTGTGGCGTCCCACCCAAGGGGGCAGCTGGAAGCAGTTTGTCAGTGAAAATTTAAGAAAGAGAATCCGTGACCACTCAGGGCTTATGTTAAACATGATATCCAATGGAGGTA